CGAGACCACCGCGCGGGCGCGAGCTGGGAGCGCACATGCCATCCACCTGTTCAGCGCGGCGCAGCCCAACCAGAAGAAATAAACATTCCGCGGAGAGATGCGTGCGTTTGGAAAATTGCAACCATATATAAGCGCTACATTTCTGAGCACGCATTTAATAGATGTAATGGTATCAGCACGAACTGTCTAGCCTTGCGTCTAAATGCCCGCATGTGACTATGGAGCGCAGTCTCATAATATAAGGAAATACATGCGCGAAAGTTCATCAAAATGCATAAAACTTAAATCTCACCTGTGTCTGTGCCGCCTCGCCATCCCGCTGTTTAAGAGGAGGGTAGAGAGGTGATGATGAGTGCGCTCGGCTCAAGTGTGCTGAAGTTGAGTGCTGTCAGCTCCTCTTCGAGGAGGAAGTGCTGATATTAAGCTCTCTAGCGGAGTGTGCGATATTGTAAACAGATCCATCAGACAAAGCTAGGGCTGTCTCTCTCCCTCCCGCTAAATTTGGCGCCTCGGGTCCTGCGCATGCGCACAACCTCACTACTATTCACTCATCAGAGCGCCTTTTGAGCAGGAGGTCCGCGCTAATCGTACACTGTTGTTTTTTTAGAACAATTATATTGTGTTTTTCGAGGTAAAAAAGCAGGGAGGGGTGGCAGTGCGTTTCTTAGAGGACAATGTGGACTCTGAGTGGGAGTGAAAGTTTGGAAAACAGGGGGAAACAGAGCGTGAGGGGTCCGGGCATCTTGTCTCAAGCATAGCGCTGTTTCTGCGGTACTGAGGCTGTACTGTAGTAAGTGACGGACTCGTAAAGGATGGTTCCGATCGCGATTATTATTTTTTTTTTTTTTTTATTATAATAATTTTAAAAAGTAGGCTATTCTTATTTCATTTGCCAAGTGACAATAGTTTTATATTTTAACAGAATAACATTATTACAAATCAGAAATAAATATAATACAATTCTTAAATCGTGTTTTCTCACAAAACCCAGATTTGTGTGACTTTTAAAAGATCTTTTAAAGGAAGCATAAATGCAAATCAGTAATTAATTAACTAACTGCCTATTTTAAATACAAATAAACAAACATGTGGTAACATTTTATTCATTTTTATTAAACAACACTGAATACAACAAAGCTCATAATGTGTATCTTTAATAGGCTACGTTATATGAACAACCAAATGAACAGAACAAGTCTCACGAGCCTTTCAATTCGGACATGGGGATATTAACTGATTCGGTGTTTTCGATTCAATGTAAAGAACTAGTTCATAAGAGTCATTCGTTCTGGAATCGGTCACTACATGGTGGCGCCGTATGTTTTTGATTCACTAAAAAGAACCGGCTCTTAAGAGTCATTTGTTCGAGAATTGAACTGCACTGGTCTCCGTATGTATCATAGCGTGGATTCAACAGTAAGCTATTGTTGCACTTAAATTCAGAGCACACAACACAGTCAGAGTAGGCTATAATAACGTCACGATGAACGAATAGCCTACGTTTCAGAACCGTTGACATCATTCGATACTTTTTCGAATTCGTACAAAGTTCAGGTGTTCAGTTATGGAACCAACTACCCTGAAATCTACTTAGAAATAGAATTATATTCGTTCGAAATCTGCTGCTTTGTTATTTCCTAGGAATTCCTTTAAATCAACTACTTTATTTCACTTCTCTCACTTTCATCAGGTTGCAACAGTTTCGCTTTTCCTTTTCCAGAAATGTAGCCTATAGTACGTTACCACCTCTGGTTTGCTGATATTTTCACTTTGCTTCAGTTCCAAAGTTACACAATGCATACATTTTGTTACTGACAGTCATGATCAGGTTATTGTCTGGAACTGAAAAGTAGTGCAGCTTGTTTAAGTTCTCCGACATGTCCAACCTGTTGCCATGTGATAGTCTACGTAATTGCATAATCATCAAGGATAACCAGCAAGCTCTCTCTCTTTTTCACACACCCTTGAGGGTTGTGGTCTATATGTTTTGTTTTATAGGTTGCCTTTGCGCTTACTTGGTTGGCACATTGTGACCGTCACTTATCATATCGGTCAGCGCGAGCCATTGTTTCTGACCACTGACGCTCACGTGCTCAGCAGAGCTCGCAGCTCGTGAACGCGCCTCTGTTGTGTCTGCGCGCCGATGACTTGAGAGCGCTCATCCATCCATTGCAGAACAAGGAGGGGTTATTACTGGGGTGCTTCATTAAAAGATAGAAGAAGAAGAAAAAACACTTAGTCGCCATTTTATTTCAGTAGTCTACTTCCCTATGAGGGCATGCGATTTATATGACCTACTCCTAGATTACACAACATCGCAACTAATTCATATTTGCTGTGGTGTCATACAACAACAACTTAAAAAGTGTTTGAATTTCATTCCATAAATAACAGAATATCAAACCGAGTAGAATCTAAAAACATGTTTCTCAGTACTAACTTTACAATGTTTTGATTCATATTGGTCAAATTATAGGTCCAATTATTTAAATGAAGAATAACACTGACCAATCAAAATGAGGTAGGCCTATTCCGGAAAGTAGTGTAATAAATTCCAACAATTAAAGAATATTAATAATTCTATTGCAGTTAGATATGAAATGCAACATTAATAAAGAGCATTGCTCAACTGAAAAGCCATGACATCACTTATGTTTATGAGTAAAATACAGTAGGCCTAACTAATTTGATGATAAATCGGACTGTACAACTCTCTCCAACCCTGTTGCCCCCCTGTCAAACAGCATGTCTGAAGCTTTTAAAATGGGTCTCATCAAATGTAGGCTACAAGGAGAATCACTTCACGACACGTGAGCGCATGTGTGATGATGTTAAAGTGCAGAGTTTTCCATTGACCTCAAAATATTTGTGAGTCATTCTGGAAACAGACGCCACAAACAGACAGACTTAGTGATGTGAGAGACTAAGACTGAGACTGACCACTGTTTAATGCCTAATTAAAATGTTGAATTTGATCTCTACTCTATCCCCCTGCCATGATACCCAGGCCCAGCCACCGAGACAACCTGTGGGTAACACTTTTTAGAAAGTTACAGTGAATGAAACATCCCCGCACCGCACACACATACCACACCTAAGGTGAATCCAGGGTCAGTCAAATGTTCATCTCCTGTCTCCTTCATCTCATCTCTCCTCCTTACTGTTTGCTACCTTCATTTAAAGTCACCATGACATCAAAAGTGACAATTCTTATTTTGTATGGAATATTGCAGTAGCCTATAAATTGATCTGTGCACATCATAACTTTTATTTTAAATTCATGTGCACTTCTTAATCTATAATCAAAATAACTTCCCCTCCCTCTTGCATCACCATCATCATCTTTTCTCTTCTCTGATGACAGGGACAACCTGTCACTCACATCACATGACATCACAGCAATAGCAAACCACAAAGATTCTGTCAATTCTCAATGGGCAAAATCAAGTCCCGCACTACATTTTTCCTTGTTCGAGAATCCGTTTCACTCGGATATATACGTCACAATAGGAAAGAAAAGACTATTGCAACTTTCATTTCATGCTGACTATAAAGACATTTTAAATAAAAGCAAGAAAACACAAATTTATTATGCATATTTGTGCCATTCATTCAAACTCCTTCTCCAATACACTCTCATGGCAATTCATAACTATTTTATGTTTTTGCGAATTGGTGGTTAATTCATATGAATTAGCAAATTTTTGTATGATCTGCTTACACCCCACTGATGGTTAGGTTTAGGGGTGCACAGATCTTTCATGCCTGCGGAAGTTTTTTCTTCTTCAAAAATTTTACATTTCCGTACAAATAACATCGTACAAATTCATACAAAATTGCATCGGGATGCTTTCTCTGTATGGAAAGAACCCCTCCCACCTCTGTCTTTCTTTGCAACCTACTCTGTACTTGATATAACTGGGTCAGTCTAAGAAAGCATGAAGCAATGAAGCATCTGTATATCTGCAGTGCTGAGTGTGTTTTAAGTTAAATTTAGACATGTTCTCAAAGTTTAAATGTCATGCAGATGTGAATGAAACCATATTTAGCACAAACAGTATCAGATTAGTGACTGTGGTAAATCTCTCCTTATCTGCGTGCTGTGCAGAACAACTTCACTTAATGCTTTACCTCACTATTCCTGACTTATAAGACTTTACAATGTAAATGGCAATCAAATTGATTCAACATTCACCCAAAACTCCTATCCTCTCCTTTAAGTTTTTGATAATTCTCCCTATGTTTCCCCCAGCCCAGACTGAAAGGCGCATTTAGGGAACTAAGCAATCAGCTTAGTTCTCTGTTCATATATCCTAAGTGATTCCTCCATATAGGGCCATCGATTTATTGAAAGTATTGAAACCGAAAGATCAAGATCCTAAAAAATCTGATATAGCAGAGAGGAGGAGAGAGATTGAAGGTGGTTTCCAGGAGTAGGTTTCGCAGCTGCAGAGTCTTGTGTTCCAAGGAGAGATAAATCTTACAGGGGATTTTTTTCTCCACTTGGGCTGCTATATAGATGTCAAAAGATCAATTAAAAACATGACAATGAGTGAAAAATATACACATTATAGATAAGCTAGTTGGAAAACCCATTGTCAGCGGTTCCCCAACTGTCACGCAACTGTATTAATCGAATTAATCTCATCATTAATAATTTAGTTTGACATTAGCTACGTTGTCATATGTGTCAGTGTTAATTTATATTTGATTTATATACACTTTGCATTGTAGAATAAAACGTCTCTATTACATTTAACTATATTATTTCACTGTAGGCCTAGTTAACACAGACATATTATAATCTAGGCAAATATGTGTCTAAATATTTTCTGAAAGTGTATGTTTATCCTTTACAAAACTTACCGTGTTAACTATAATCACCGCATAGATTCCAGTTTTGACTAAAAACATCATTGTTTAATCTGGCTTTAAGAATCTTTTTAGTTTTAGAGGCTTTCAGAATCAAGACTGTGTATTTTCTCACTGCGCATGCGCGTCCGTTTTGCTTCTGATGGCCGTCAACATGGCGGCTGTGGAGTGAGACGCATGTCTAAACTTTGCTCCGACAATTGATATTTTGCCTCGCGTATATTATTTACGTGAAAGAAAGCCGTCGAACAAAAAATGTCCCGCCACAGGAATGTCCGAGGTTATAACTACGACGAAGGTATATACGGGAAATATGATATTTAGCAGCTTTTATTTAAAGAGGCCTATATGATTGCTAGTTAGCTGGTTTATTTATACAGAGTCCAGTGCTAGAGATTATGACAGACTGCTGTCGTGTCACTGTTTCAGATGGTAACAGCTGGACTGTGCACCTGGTAACCAGTTCTGTGCTTTTAAACTCAAATATTTGTATTTAATTCAAATCACAACAAACTGTTAACGTTACTTTACATAGTGCCTTTCTATTTCTTTTTATTTGGGTGATCACAGATCAGCCGTCTAGTATATAAAACAAAAGTAACAGCTGGGTTCTTAAATTCACTTTATTTCTACTCAGTTTTAGTGACTTTTGACGTTCACTTTTGTTAATAACTGTTGTTGCATTGCTTCAGGTGGTGTAACGTTAGCTGACTAAGCAAAGCTTTTTGGCCCTATCAATGCTTTTCTGTTTGTTGATGCAGTGGAATTGCTTTAACTATAACTAGCTTTTGTGGTTTGGAGTAAAACAGAATTGTCTCAATTTCTTCCTTTTTTTATAGACTTTGAGGATGATGACTTGTACGGGCAGTCAGTGGAGGATGACTACTGCATCTCTCCTGCCACTGGTTTGTGTTTTCATTAAAGTTGCATGTGATTTAAATAGTATAAATTCCTTATTTTGTATTCTTGTCATTTTGATCAGTCATAAATCACAACTGCAAAATGTTCCTAATGTTATTTATGTTTTTTTATTTGAAGATTGTATATTTATTATCATTTGCATTTAATTTTTGGCCATATGTTGGATTAAATTGAAAAAAAGATTTGGTTTGATATGATTTCTACTCTTATATGACCCAGTGCAGTGCCATTTATAAAAAATACATCTTTTCCCCCCCAAAAATTGCCCACACGCATTCACATGTTGAATCATGGGATAGTTCACCCAAAAATAAAAATTCTGTCATAAATTACTTATGTTGTTCCAAACCCATAAGACTTCTGTTCATCTTCAAAACCAAATGAAGATATTTTAATGAAATCTGTGAAATTTAGATCTGTCCCTCCATTGAAAGTCATTTCACCCAAAACTCTGAAGGTTCAAAACATTAACAAAAAGATCGTAAAACAAATCTGATGGATTGTTTAAATCAAGTCTTCTGAAGAGACACGATTGCTTGATAATATGATGAACAGCTTTAATTTAGGATTTTATTCACATATAAACATTGAACATATAAAGAGTACTCAAATGTGGTAAATGGAAGCTCAAACTAATCTCATTTGTTTTTGCGGAAGCTCAAACTCAAAGGTGCTGCGTGACGCACGAGAATGAACATATAGATGCATCACAGTTTTGGGTGAATAGACTTGTAACAGAGGAACAGAAATCTCTCAGATTTCATAAAAAATATATTCTATTGTGTTCTAAAGATGAACAAAGGTCTTATGGGTTTGGAACAACATGAGGGTGAGTAATTGATGACAGAACTGACCCTTTAACTGTATAATATTGATGTTCATTTTTGTCTGTTATGGAGATATTTCTGAATTCATGTTTCCATAGCCGCACAGTTTATCTACTCACGTCAAGACTCAAGGCAGGCTCGACATGTAGAGACCGTGGAGGAGGCAGAATATGAGGAGGAGGAAGTGGAGATGCCAACCTCTCCATCCATCACAAGCACACTAGACCCACTAAAGCAAGGTACACACTGACTTTATGGGTTAAGAGATGGGTTAAGATGGTCACTTATTCTAATGAATATCTGGGTAGTAAGTTTATCTAATTTTATCTTTAATATTTTTAAAGGCAGTGCTTTAAAGGGAATGAATATAGAGATGCAAATTCTCAAAGGATTTCAGAGGGCTGACAGTCAAAAAGTTAGGCCTACTAAGTGTTGCAGTTTTGTATCTCTAAGAAATGTCTGATTAGGGTCTGGTGGACTAAATCAGGCTAACCATTTTCCTCAAGCCAGACTAATGGCTCGTTTCCACTGAGCGGTACGGTACAGTACAGTACGGTTCGGGTCGGTAAACCATGATCCGGCTAGCGTTTCCACCGCCAACAGTACCCTTACTTGATAGGCGTGGTGTTTGCCGGAAAGAAGCGATCGACATCATTTTCGTGCGAAGAAGAAGGCGACATAGTAAACAACTATGGATGACATACTGCAGATCTTGTTCTTGCTTCTCGGCATGTTTGTCACAAGAAACAAGCGCCGGCATTAGGCGTTTCTCAATACCAAGTAGCCTACGCAAAGTCCGACTCAGGAGAATGACTCCCGAGGACGCGAGTCCAGTAATTCTGCTAATGGAACAGCATGTTCTTGAAAGTGCCACTCAGCTCGCTCTGCTACTCCGGTTATCTCTGTATGTCAGGGTTCCCGCGGATCCTTAAAAAGTCTTAAATTAGATTTTTAAAATTTAAGGCCATAAAAAGTCTTATAAAGTCTTAATTTTACTTATGAAAGGTCTTAAATTTTAGATGACACTTTGACTTAGACATATCTAAAAGCTTTCCAAATTAAAACCATCTAATTAGCGTACGTATTTTTATTTATTTATTATTCTATCTTTGTGGATTTGCTAGTTCACGTGACATTTCGCGTCACTCGCGAGTCGCGGCAGCATAACTGTCTCCTGCACGCGAGAGGAGAGAAGGAGAAGAAAGGTCGTAAATGTCAGTTCAGTTGTAAGTTCATTCTTTATGTGCGTATGGTGTGCGATGTGTATTGTCTTTTATGATATTGTAATCATTGTTTTAACAATGTACGAGGCACTGCGAGCTGACATCGCATTTGTCTCTCGTGCTTTCACTGCGTGATGTGTGCAGTGTAACTGTTATGTCCCCAAGTTAGTTTTTGTCTTATATTTATATCATATTATGTTCTTATATTAGAATATCACATCAGAAAGAGTGCCGTTTTCCCGTGCACAATTCCAATTGTGATATTTATGTTATACAACAGTTAAATTAACAATAAGTTAACATTGAGTTACTTTTTAGACACAATATTGTCAATATTGTTTGTTTTCCCTTTATTTCGCCGACTATAATTTCAAAATGAAACCGTAGCACAGTCTCAATGCAACCGACAGCGATTATTTCTTGACTGAAATCCGCGTTTTGAGCGAATCACTTGCTTCTTTCCCGAATGAATCAGCCGTTTGAACGAATCGGTTGAATGAATGACTCCCTCAACTCACTTATTAAGACAGTGATTTGCCGCTGCGGTTTCATATTTAAAGTACCCTTTAAATAAAATGTTAAAATTAGAAATCATTTCATATTTAAATATTGAATATTGATTTAAAAATATATATCTCAGCTTTATTTATGCAGTTGTAAATGGAGTGTAAATAAATAAATGACACTTCTGATGCCGCTTCTGTCACCTCTGCACTGCAAAGATGGATTTTGATTGAATGATTTAATTTGACTGTAACAGTGGTACTGTATGATTATTATATAATTAAGTATTATTGTATAATTACTGTATAATTTAATTTGAATGATAGTATTTGACATTAAAGGTGATGCATAACTCTAAATAAGTTTAGAAAAAATGTCCATATATAGGTGAAAATGCCCCTGAAAAAATCAATTTAAGGTGGCAAATATTGCCCCTTAATTAAAATATTAATTTCTGTCACTGCTGTGAACTGACCACTGCATAGAATATGAAAAATATGAATATCTTCGTGAGTCAGCTGTCAACAACAGACCTAAACCAGCCATGGCACCAGCACAAAAACACAATCAGTAAAATATCATCTAATTATTATCAACAAAACGTTGAAAATATCAAGATATATTTTTGTCAATACTGCACAGCCCTAATGTACGGTATTCATTTTGATTTCTTCAGGTCTTAAAAAGGTCTTAAAAAGCCTTAAATTTGACTTTCAAAAGTGTGCAGGAACCCTGGTATGTACATTTTAAACATTATAAGCACACAAATGTGGTTCAGGCAATGCATATCCTATTGATTATATTCACTGCATGTATGTAGCCTATATTTATAACAAAACTAAATATAAAACACAACCCTGCCTCTTTTCGTTTAAATTTAAAAATATTAAACATATTCCAGGCAATATGTGCATTGGTACAAATGTTGCAATAAACAACATTACAGATGGTCTTGTAATAAAATAAAAAATGACAAAACTCAACCTTATCTCTTTTTGTTAAATTTCAGTTTTATCAATAATAGCCATTATAAAAGTATAAGTAAAAGGTACAAAAAGCTATACAGTAAAGCTTTAATAACATAAAGCAAACAATTCAGTCAAATATACAAATTCAGCGCTCAAATATATAAAACTTCACTTAGCCTTCTGCCAAAACTATTGGCCAGGGAACGAATTATAGATTCACGAGACCAAAGATCGCCTGTTAGGTCTATACAAGACGAATTATATCTCATGTTTAACCACTACAGAGACCTCAGAGTCAGCGGCAAACATCAGAACGACTAGCCGAGGAAAGACTGTTCCAGGCGGGGTACTTGAGCGCCGAGCGCCCGGTGATTGCTTGGAATGGATCTCAGTATTATCATAAATCTATAAATAAACCACAGATTTGAGCTTTAAAAAACTACATTCTCGTCTGAAAAACATTTCATGACACAATAACAGTAGTATTATATTTCAACTGTATAATAAAAAATGGCGCTTCTAATGCCCTTGTAGCACGCGCAAGTGATGATACTCTGTCAACCAATCAACGTTCTGCTGTGAGTCTAGCTCCACCTTTTAGTACCGTACCACTGTGCTAGGTACCCCAACGGAAGGGTACCCAAAAAGTGGTACGGTTCGGCTTTTTGGTACCATTCACAACTTTTGACAGTGGAAACGCAAATAATTGCGTACCGTACCGAACTGTACCGTACCGTACCGCTCAGTGGAAACGAGCCATTATGCTCACCACTTCTGAATTTATTTGATAAAAAATACAGTAATTTTGTGATTTCAATATAACTAATTACAGTAATAACTGTGAAATATTATTACAATTTAGAATTACTGTTGTACTCTACTCTAGTATTCATTACTCCAGTCTTTAGCGTCACATGATCCTTCAGAAATTTTTCTAATATGTTGATTTTTTGCTCAAGAAACATTTATTATCATTATCAATGTTAAAAACAGTCGCTGCTTAACATTTTTTGGAAACCATGACACATGCATCCTTGCTGAATAAAAGTATACATTTCTTTAAGAAAAAAATCTTATTGACTCTTATTACACTTTGACTTCAGAGTTCAGCTTTTCAATTCATGTCAGAAAAAAGCGACCGACCAAGGGTTTAATCTTTAGGATTTTATTAAAATACCATGTGGAATTTACCATCAGAGGTTACCACCCCAAACCTGTGAAAGGAAGTAAAGTTCAAACTTAAACACAAAGGATTAGATTAGTAATTATTACATCAGGACAAAAACACCATTGTTTGTCAAAAATCCATATTCAGTTTTGAGGAATGTTAACATATTCCATTTGGAATATGTATTGTATTAGATTTTATTACTATTAATATGTTTGTGTTTGGACAGGTCAGTTGTTTTCCTGTTTGGATCACATGAGAGCAGTACTGGGAGACTCAATTCCAGACTCCACACTGACTCAGGCAGCTCTTAAATACGACTGTGACCCTCACCGGGCCCTTGATTTCATTCTAACTGAGGAGAACACCAATACACACGCCCCTCCTGTCAGAACCAACGCACAGCCCGAGCCTACCGCCACAGCTGCACCACAGAAAGGTACACACACACACCCTTCCACCCAAAACCAGAACACACCAACCAAAAAAAACCCTACACACCATTATACAATTTCTAGCACATTAACTACCCAAAACACATCTGTGCCACTTCCACTTAAAAATGTGCCCTCTTATGTGTTTTAATCCAAAATGAAAATGAAAACCACTCCAGCAAGACCACAAATAGTTAAAACACAAAAAGTTGGCATGAGGTCTCAGGGGAAAATGTTAAAATCCAGGGTTTTTCCAAAACTGGGGAGAACCTAATTTTTTTTTTTTTGTGTTTCAGTACCAGAGGCTATAAATACATGCAAATAATACAACATTAAAAACTATTTATAAAAGTAATACTGCTAACACTGATTTTTATTATTATTTGTTATATATTTAAGACAAACAATTTTCTACTTTACCTTTACAATTTATGTATACAATTTAAAAATCTAAGATACAAATTTTTCCCCAGGCTTCAACTGCTAACTTTGTTTACATCAGCTAACTTTGTTTTATTTGTTGCTTTTGTTGTTGTTGTTGTTGTTTTTTTTATCCTTAATTTTACCATGTATAACGTATTGCCTTTTTCTTGCTTTCTCTGTGATCTCGGCTAACCATTGATCGCCTTCCTCATCCTCTCGGTTGTACTCTCTGACTACAATTGGCCCTCGTAAGGTAAGGAGCCTTATTTTCTCCATCACACGACGGTATTAAGACTGTATCAAGTGCACATTCAGGCAAACCCCTGAAACGAGACGGCGGTCAGTCTTACAGCCTCAGTGATCTGTTAGCCATGCCTGAACCAAACAAGATCATGCCTCCTGTTTTAAATCCTCCCCCTGGTCTGGGAAGTTTGACAAAAGGCCATTTAAAAGGGCTTTCAAGTCATAATTTGGGCAGTGATGGAACTTTAGGACAAAGTTCACTCGCCCAAGTAATAGCTCAGCATGAACAGAAGTGTACAAACATTCCTCCTTTAGTTGCTTCCACTGGTGTCTCATTGGATTACACAGCTCCTCTTACTACCAGTCCTTTTGGTTCTTTTCTTGGTTCTACCCCCCCACTTTCTGCAGTTCTATCGCAGGGTCCTAGTGTCCCACCTTTTCCCGGTTTGTCTGTTGGCTCTGGGGCGTCTCTCTCTTCTGGTTTCTCTTTGGGAACCTCTGTCCCAGCTGGTCTGGGTGTGACATCCTCCTCATCTCTTCTGACCTGCTCTCTCAGTAGTCTAGCGCTGCAGGATTCCCAGCGGTCCGCCCCTCTTCCGGTTTCCTTAGGGAGTTTGAGTTCTGTCCTGCAAAGCAGTGGGCCGTTGGGAGTACCTGGGCAAGGGAAGAGCTCTGGAAGCCTTTCATTGGCTGAGCTGATTCAGGAGCACCAGGACAGCAGTCCCAAACTCTATGACAGTTTACCAGGACTCCAAAACACCCAAAATTCATATATTACTGGTAAACAAAACAATACGCACATCCAAAAGCCTATCCAAACATCTGCTGCAAATGCTCCTCCGGGCTTTTCAGAGGCACCATCCCTGTCTGAACTCATGTCCCACAACCAAGTGTCACTTACATGCACTGCATCTCTCAAGAGTGAAAATATGTCTAATCATCAAGCATTGAACAAATCTGCAACAGTATTACCTAAGCCCCGCTCACTAAGCTTAAATCAGAGCGTCGATCTTAGCGCACTTATCTCCCAAACATCTCCTGACAGTCGCTCGCCAACCCTTTTGAGTTTTACCCAAGTCTCCGCTAGTAAGAAAAACCGTGTGTTTGCCAAACCGTCAATTTTTGCATCCGCGTTTTGCGTGTCCGTGAGCAGCGAGAAGAGTCTGCGCAGTAGAGCAACGCATAATGCTTTCTTATACAGCAGACAGATGGAGAGAGTGAAAGAACGAGTGCAGTGTCTACCTCTCCATCACATCACCCCGTTTTCTTTCGACACGCCCTCTCCGGATGACATGGTCAAGGCAAATCAGAGAAAAGCTTTTACTCGAGACTGACATTTTTTTAATTTTATCTTTCAGGACCATTTAAAAAATCTTCCGAACAAACAGTTTTGAGACTCAGGTTCATTTTTGCTTAAGGTTATGACGTTACAGTTTTGCCCATAATTCAAAGAAGCAGGGCTGTATCTAGAAGTTGTCTGACTGAATGCTAAATAATAGTGATTATAGAATGAAATGCATAGATTAGCATTAATAATTTTAGGAAAACATGAACTTTCAGATGTTAATCATTGATAAGCACTGAGATGTACATTTGAGCCATGAAATTATTATTTAAAGAACTGAGACTGCTATTTTATATCATTCCCCATATAATTCTTTATAATTTAGTATTTTTCTGATTTTTTTTTATACATATTTATTTACAGCTAACCATTACACTGAAAAGTTGTAAAGGACTTTTTGTTCAAAATGTCACAACCTCAGATAGTAATATAGTATTACTTTTAAAGTCGTCTTGTTTTCAATTTTTCATGTTGATTTTTCATATTTTCACTTTTTAAAAATTTGTCATTAGGCTAAATGTATATTTTTATACTTGATTATGTAGTTTTATGATATTTTGACAAATTATTGATTCAATTCTAGAGTCTCTACATAACGAAAAAGAAAATATAGAGTAGGTGCAGATAGAGTGCAAAAGATAAAAGAAAAAAACAGCAGATTCTCTCTACAGCTGTTTTGCTGCCATTTGAAATGAGGTGCAGCGCTGGTTTACCACAAACACAGAAAGAGGGAAGACATTTTGGTTCGGGGGACACCTGGAGTTTTTCCTATTATGTGTTTTGACACCCAACACTGTAAAAGTGTGTTTTATTTATAATAATTAATGTTTAATAGACATTTTGTTAATTGTTTTTTCAATTTTGATTGTCCACTGCATTTTTAACTTGTTTTAAAGCACTGATGTGGCCATGGGCCTGACGTTTTGTATATATTCTGAAATAAAGATTTTCCATTTTCATTTCTGCGATTGATGTTGGAGTGTGTGAATATATGGGGGTGGAGGGGAACTTGTTGAGGATGTGCTTGTTTTTTGCTCACCTTAAAGGGTGTGTTAGTTTGTGGTGTTTATCACTTATGTGTGACTGCGTGTGTGTGTGTGCTCGCGCACATATGTACATATAAAACAGAGAGTCTTTGTGGCCACATAAAGGTGTTAACACACCCAGAGCATATTGGAAGAGATTTTACAAAGGCTTTGCTTTCATAGTGGTAGACCATCCACCATGGGAGATGATACACACATGCACAGATCTGAAGATGGTCTGAAAACACTCACACACCTGCATGTGCACGTTTAGATTGGCTTTGTTTCCTCATTGCACACTGACCTAGTGTCTAAAACAGTATTATCCTGATAATCACTTGAAAAGAGTGTGTTCTTTAGGACTGTTGGTGAATAAGACTTAGTTAAGCCTACATAAGCTATAAGATTTAATTAAGTGACTAAATGTTCTGGCCATTTAATCTCTGACTGTTCTTGTTGGGTTTAAATGTTTACTGAATTTCTTCATTGAAATGCATCCAAAATTACTAGTGGTGCTATAAGTAGTTGTTAGTACTATTGTTTATGCTTAGAGCTAGATATTTGAACAAACTGCTAATCTTAAAGATTCTAAAAATGAAAATGGTCATTATTTATTGCACCCTCATGTCGCTCCGCTATGCAGAATACAATAGAAGAAAATTTGAAGAAGTTTTTAACTGTTTTTGTCCATGTATTGAAAGTCAATGGGGTCCAAAACAACATTGCACCCCACCGACTTTCATTGTATGAACAAAATAAAACAGACCTTTTTTCCAAATTATCTTCTTTTGTGTCTTACAGGTTTGGAACAACATGAGGGTGAGTGAATGATGACAGAATAAAAAAATTTCTGAGAACTAAACCTTTAAGGAATAAACTTACCTTCACAGTTTGTGCTACACACATTTGAGGAGATGTGTGTTTTTGCATTTCTAAGAAATCAGATTTAATATTTTGCATTTGGTGGACAATAAACTGGCAAAAATCCCAAAGACTTAAATTAAAGGAGTGACCTGTGCCATATCTAGAGACCAGAATATCATGTCGTTGAGCTCTTTTGGCATAGAACAGTAAGTAGCAACCTTAAAACCCATTAGAATATCCTTAGCAACAGCATAGCAATGCCCCAGCAACCACTTGGATTACCCTAGCACCATGATGATGAGTTTTGCATAGGCAAACATCCACTATTTTCTTCAGAAAATGTAAAAGCTTTTTTTTTTTACTGTTAGGATGCTTTGACTGCACACACAGAAGCATCTTTCCTTCTCGCGTGTTCTTGTTAACTCTCTGTTTGCCGAGCCAAGCGTGGGTGAAGGCCTGCTTTTGAAAAGCATGATGCAGCTCACCTTTCACACTTGCTGTCTTCAACTCCTTTTTGTAAATCTCTTTGCCATCTGACCACCTCAAGTCATCTATCCCTTTTTCCCCCTCTCTGTTTTCTCTGCCTTCTTTTGCCACCCACACAGGAAAGAGTGACTGGTTTACAGCTGGCCCTGTTACTGCTCTTTGACGTTTTCTCCCTTTTTTGCACTTTGTGGCTTTTGCAGAAATGGTGATATGTCATTGTGTCTGTGCTGCGAGTCGTGCGTGCAGCACTACATAGATTGGTCAGACAGCGAGAGAGAGGTTATTGACCCTATTTGAGAGTGTGAATAAAGATCATTTGTAGCTTTTCTCCTTCTCTGTCAGACTGTTTCTTGTTTTCTCATTCTTTGTTCTCCCCTGAATACTGTCAGTAGAACTAGATGATTTTACTCCTTTAGACTGTGAAGACTTGCACAGACTTCATACACAGTAGTCTAGATACCTATTTAATTTAGCTTAAAGTAAGAAATAGAATTGATGATTAAGTTTGTATTAGTGGTGTTTGCTAAGTTAAGCATCATACTTGGAGTTATAGATTTGAACAGATCCCTAACCCTAAGAATTCAACTTTAGCTCGTAACTTGACCTGAATTGTTTGTACTACAGAGATGAATGATGCCTCATTTTGTGGCTTGGTTCTGAGAACTGTGCTATTACTTATCCGAATGATTAGGCTTGTGTTTTTTTCCCACCTGGGGATTACAAAATGGACGATGTATATCTAGGGTACCGAATATCAAAGTCATGGCTGGTTTTTACTTGGTAAAGTAAAAAACTGTAGAAATGACGTAAAACTGCTTGATTTCCGACTAGAGCTTAGATCGGGCCCAAAAAATCAAGCCTGACCCTACCCGAGCCCGTGCACGTTGTGTCTGAGCCCGGCCCGACACATTAACCGTAATTATGAGACCGAGCCCGATTTAAACCCGACCATTTTTTAATACGTGGGTCGTTATAACTGACGCTCTCAACTACTTTCTATGTTACTTTCTCCCGCCCGCAACTTTTTGTCCCGCTCCCGCCCGCAAATAGACTTTTTTTCTGTACCTCCAAATACTTTCAAGTTAGCCTAAGTGTCGCCACCATACACATCAGCATAAATGCTCCTGATAAATGATTTGTTATTAAAGCATTAACACACAAACCAATGTAAATTTAACATAAAAGCAAGCAGGCTACTGCGTGCATGGTTTGGCATGACTGAATGCGCGCAAAGTGCGCTCCCTTAATAATTCCTAAAAAGCTGACAGTTCATCGCAATCTCACACACCTCTGTTATTATCAATGAAGCTGACTGCACAATGAATCTTTCATGATGATATCCACACTTTGTTATAATTAGAGGATTTGCCAGCATA